ATAACTGAAAACACCAAGTATTGTTCCTTTAAAGTTTGTAACAATCAGACTAAAATTTTATCTGCCTGCATTTTTTTTTGCAACATTAATAACACGCAATGGTTCTAATTAATGCAGCTGAAGAAACATCTTGATTTAGTACAAGCTAGATTGAGTTCTGCAAGTGCAGCTTAAGTTGTGACAAAAGTAATTTTATACAGAATATCTTTGTAAAAAAAAAAGTGTGCAAACAGAAGGGAAAAAACTCTTTCTAGTGTTTGCTTTGACAAATATCTGCTCAAAGATGATTTGGCATGTTTGGATGGAGGGTAACGCTTTCTGGGTGCAGTCTAATTAATGTGACAAAAATCTCCAGGATCCATCCTCTTTCTTAGTTTCTCTACAATTCAGTGATAAAAATCAAAAACTAAATCAAACTTTAATAATCAAACTTTAATAATCCTCTTTACTTCAGGTACAAAAGAAACACCATAGGCTCAGATCTATATTTAGCCTCTGAAAACCTTTGTCTCTGAGACTACTGGGTGTCAGCGGAGACTTAACACTGTTCTTTAGAGGTGTCATTACCCTGGCTGTTCAAAGTATAATACTGCTGACTACGAGGGTGGCAACTTGTGATATAATTGGTTTAGGGAAGAAGCAGTCACTTTTCCAGAAGTAACATTCTTAATTTAAGGTTCTTAACAAGTGAATATCACCATTTGGGAATTCGGTTTGATGAGAAAAGAAGCAGAGAAAAAGAGAAAAAGCAAAGCAAGTCATATGAATGAGCACTGAGATGGTAATTGGCACAACAGGTAGCACAAAAAGCTTTGACTGCTTTTCTTCTCCCTGAACTCCTCAATAGGTAAAAAAAAACAAAAAAAAGTTGATAATAATTATGACGTACAGATGCGCAGAAGTTTTTAATTTAAAATGCAATCAAGCAAAGCAGCTAAAACATGCAGTTGAAAAAAAGACTAATGTTAAAGTGAAAACCATTCATAAATCAGAGGATCAGCTGCAGAATGTAACTTCTATAAAAAAACATTTATGTATTTATTTATTATTTTTAAACTGGCATGACAATGAAATGAGCTCCTCTACCTTCTCCCAGTGCTAAACACAGAAAACTGCCATTCGTCAGAACAACCAATCAGAGCCAGCAGGACGGCCTTACCGCTGTCAGTCATGCTTGTGTTTACGCTTCTCACAATCTCCCCCTCACTCTATGGTATGCTACCAGTTTCTTCTCGGTAGCACAGCCTGCTTTGAATTCTTAGGCTAGTTAGCATGGCCACTGATGACAGCGGATAAACAATTTTCCTGTGAAGCTAAGTTGTTTCTCTGCTGTCAGCTCATTGAGCAGCATGTACATGAAATTGATTGACAGCACTAGTACTGTCCTCCAGACTGACTGGTTGTTTCTGATGGCGAGCATTGGATTTCTGCAGATGGCAGGAGGAACTTGATCTCTTCACATATTATCTATCACATTCTGTACTTTTACAGCATAGTGACAGTTTAAACAAATATGTAAAAATATTTTTTTTACCATGGTAACTTACTGCAGCTTCACTTTATCCTTCAGATTTGTTTGTTTGCTGTTATTTATCTACAATTTAGTTTTTTTAGTAGGCTACATGACTGTCAGGAAATAATTTTGCATCAAAAGCAGTTTTATTGGTTTTGTATATAATCTTTAGTTATATACAAAACCACTAGATTTGTAAGTATTTTTCTTTTTTGTACCATTACTGTATTCCTGAAGTTTATAAGAATACCTTAACAAATGCAATTGAAAGATGAAAACAGTAATGTTATAAACAACCCTTAAAGGTTGTTGTTTAACGGTTGAAACAACAACCTTTAAACACCTGGAAAGTCATTGTGGGATTTATATGACGATTTTCCTTGATTTTCTCAGGGTTTTAGGGATCACCAGGGGACACAAGCCTGAATTTGAGAAGTCAGACCTTAGCCCTAATGTAGCATAAGCTCAGCTCTTATTTTTCAAAAATAAGGGTTTAAATTTTTCAATTGAAACTATAAAGGCAAAACTAGGCTTAGGAGAATGGGTATGTACGTATACAAATCTGAGAAAAGTTGAAGGTTTCAGAGAAAAATTTGATGGAAATCTTCAGAAATCAACTTGAATTGCATGTTTGTAGCCATTTGTTCGTCACCACTAATGCAGTTTTAACTTGAGTGCAGTCAGACTGCCAGGAAAAAAGAAATTGTTTTTTCCTAAATCCATTTGTTGTTATCCTGAAGGCCAAAAAGAAAGATGCTCGAGACAGAAGTGCAATCCTTTGCTCATGTCCTGTTGAGACAAACATCATTTCACTAAGACTTGTTGCTGTTTGGTCCTGTTGTAAATGGCAGACTTCTCATCTTTAACTCATCTGGACTATTTGTCTTCCTTGGGGTTTTAAAATATCCATCATGTGTTCTTGTCCCATTGGAATAATGAGACTCGGAGTATAGCTGAAATATCTTTAACAGTTCAACAGCATAGCAAATTCTGACAACAGGCTCAGACAGTGTTCAATGAAAAATACACACAAAAAAAAACATTTGACTGAAGCCACATCCGAATCCAACTAAGTGAGAATCACTGGAGAGAGGATAATTAACATATTATATGTATTTTGTACAGGACATATTTTAACTTAAAATATCATGGAATAAAACAATAGATAAAAAACAAAATTTCAAGAACAAAAGGGCCTTAAATCTGTGATACACTTCTTTAAATCTATTTTTGCATATAGTAAAAATAACGCATCTAATTTTATTTGGAAAGTGCTCACTTCTGAAGTAATAAAAATACACTTTTTTACTACCATCAAGTGCTTTTCTCTCCCAGTCATTCACCAGGTGTGCATGGAAAACATGAAACAAGTCTTCGTTTACATTTATCGGCACAGTAATCTGTTAGCAACACACCAGTATTATGCAGTCAGGAAGCAAGTCGAAGCAATCAAATTTTTCCTCACTCCTGGCTCCTGGAGCTATCAGCCCCCCTCCAGGCCCATGAAGACACCGCTGGATTGAGTTTGAAAGATGATAATAGACTCCTGAGGAAACTAATCTATTTCTAAAGAAGAAAGGGGTATGAATTCTCGCACATGCACCCATCTCCACCTGTCCACTCTTCAGCAGTTTTCACCCTTGCAGTTGTATTACTGCGCAGTTGCTTGATTAAGCCATAAAGCATAATGTAATTTTGATTTTTAACAGTACAAAAGGGGAAAAAGGGTATTTCATACATACCTCAGTTTAGTGTGTTTTTATGCCCTTGCATAAAAAAGTAAATGCCAGTTTTAATACAGAGTAATTGTTATAACAGCCTTTTATAAAAACTCAATTTCACCATATACAAATATTGCAACGGCAGGAGAAACAGATAAAAAAAGAAAGACAATCTGTACTGTACTGGGAAGTATTGTACTTTGCAGAAGTACAATAATGCATAAATATTTACAGAGTATTTACTAAATGTACAGTAATACAGTTCATTTCAGACCAAACATTTACAGCACTGTCATTGTCTTATCTTTCTTATTATAAATAAGTCATTATTTTCTGTTTACCTTATCAAAAATAACTGCTGTTTTCAAGCCAGAATATGCAGTTTCACACTTAGCCCAGGAGAAGTTCTGTCCAAGTCATTATTATATTGTAATAATGACGTCCACTGTCTTCCTCATCTTGGGGAAAATAAGCTTAACATCTAAATTTAATGTTTAATGGAGCAAAAACGCAGCTGCTACAAGTCCAAGATCATGTGTACACTGTAAAAAAGGAACCTCAGGGGTTATCACATTAACAAAAGAATATCATGTACTGTTAACTAAATAATTGCGTGTTTGAGCCAAAAACATGATACATTCATGTTGCATAAACAAGATATTCCACAACTTCAACGTTTATAAAATTGAATCATGTTGAGCGAACATGATTCATTATAGTCAGACCGATCCTATGCTGAAGACCACGAGTGAGATCACGCGATATCACGCAAGTTCACGCAAGATTACGGGAAATCACGGGATATCACGCGAGAATACGCGAGACAATCTGTTTTTCTCGCAAATGGAATAAAATGTATTCAAGGTGAGATAACGTGATTCAATTACGTCAGCTAGATCTTCCGCCAAAAAAAAAAGAACGTCGGGGCGTATTACATTAACAAAAGAATATCATGTACCTTTCACACAATAATGTTGGGTTTGAAGCGAAAACGTGATAAAATCATGTTGGATAAACAAGATATTCCACGACTTCACATTTATAAAATTGAATCATGTTGAGCTAACATGATTCATTATAGTTAGACTGATATTGTGCTGACGACAACGAGTGAGATCACGGGATATCACGCGAGAACACGCGAGACAATCGGTTTTTTCTCTCAACTGGACTAACGTGATTGAATGACGTTATCTCAACTTGAATACATCTAATTCCTCAAGCTCCCAGGCGTCTACCAGAGGCCTGGGAGCGTCCTGCGCAGTATCTATATCTATATATCTATATCTATATCTATATATATATCTATATAGATATATATATAGATATAGATATATATCTATATCTATATATATATATATAGATATATAGATATATATCTATATCTATATATATATATATATCTATATCTATATCTATATATATATATATATATATATATATATAATATATATATATATATATATATATATATATATAGATATAGATATATATATAGATATAGATATAGATATATATATATATATATATATCTATATATATATATATATATATATATATATATATATATAGATATATATATATATATATATGTTTTTTTTTATTTTATTCAATATCAATATTTGTCAAAGTTAATCTAATAAAAAAAAACACAGTGACGTCAGTTCCAAAGCGCTATTGTGTCAGACTCATCTCCCGCTGAAGAGGATCCAGCGACATCAAGAGATTACGGAAAATCACGCGAGATAACTGGCTTGCACCTTGTTGGTTTTTTCAAGGGCAGAGGGGAGATTCCTGGCGTGCATCTACTTAATTTGAAGAAGGTAAGAGTCAAACTATTTTCATCTAAATCCATATAAAAATATGTAACTTAAAATTTCTCTACCATTTGCACCATTTTCTACTTGTTCCATACTTGTGTCACATTATTTCATGTTCTGTAGATTAAGTCGGTTAGGTTAAGGCAGATAGCTTTTTGTTTACATTTATCGCCGCACCATGTTAGGTACATTCTGTGCGAAAAAACTCTGCAGAGCCATATGTAGTGTAAGGGTCACAAAGCTGCTGCCAGAGACACAAATGGACCCCAGAAATGTCACAGTTTTGCTCCTCCTGAGCTCCCTGGAGGTTTAGTGGATTTTTAACACACGGATCTAACATCAGTCTATTTCTAACTATTTTAATTCTATTTCAGTAATGTTACTATGGAGGTAAATGTAGATACACACACACTTTGGTACCTTTCTATCATCATCGAGATTCTTAATTAATTATGGTAATAAAAAGTCCTACATTTCAGTCGGTGAAACCTGCAGAAAGCATTGCTTTCTGAGCTTTGTTAAATGTTCCTTAAATACCTGTTAGTTATGGATTTCTAGTATATTTTGTCAGGCTAAAACTCTCAATGGATTATCCATTATTACAGACTTGAGCTTTCTATTTTTTTTCTTTAAAATACATATTCCTCTGCTGTAAAGATGTTGGGTTTTTTTGGACTCTTCTTTGTTGTCCCCAAATAATTGTAGCTCAGAAACAATATTGAAGTTCATTGGTTTAATTTTGAAATGTTGATGTTTTTTTGTGTTGATTGTTTGTGCTCATTTTGACCTATGTTACTATTGCTTTCTACCATGTTCAATTCACCATTGTTCTGCACAAATGTGCTTGCATACAAGTGTCCAGTGGTTATATTCATGAGGCATTCAAGGGACTTGTACTAAAAGATAAAACTCAGTTCAGTATGAATTGCATATTTTAATGGCTGAAAATATATCTGATCTCTTTCAGAACATCACCTGATCACCTGTCTGTAATCCACCTGCGTAAGTACTGGTCAAGGGGCTCATCGGCTATCAAGTTATAGATTTCAGTGGCTAATAGTAAGTTTTGCCAGATCTAAAGTGACTGAATGTAGTGTTAGAGAGCTTATAAAGCTAGGGTTCAGCTAAACATTTATTTGGCCAGTCTGTTTTATTTGTCTTTATTTGCGTGGGGATGTGGAAATGTAAGGAGTGTAGTCTCTCTCTGTCTCGTAGATATGACCTGTTAAAACATTTTACACTTAAACACCGGCATATGCGACGTTATCCATGCCCACACATAGACTGTCCATGTACTTGTAAGACATGGAATGCTTTGCATATTCATTTAAGTAGAAGGATATAGACTGTGTTGACCATTCTGTACTTTTCACATATTTCTTTGGTGATATATTCATGTCTTTATTTAAACATCCAACAGCTTCAGTTAGATGTTTAAATGAGATGTTAAACTCAATTTTAGTCATGGCATAATGAAGGGATACTAACAATTTTAAATATCTTTCAAATAGACTGCAAGCCACTGATCACTTTTGTTGTGACTTCCTTTGAATGTAGCTATGTTTTCAAGTGTGTGAACCTATACTGCTGGAGTTTTGAGATTGTTCTCATTGTTTTTTGATCTGCATATTTAGGAAGACACTGCTGAGGTCAGACGAGAGTGCATCCTCAAAGGTCTGTGTGTACCTAAATGAAGATCCAGAGAAGCTGGTGAGGGAGTACATGGTATGTTAAATTCTCTTTGTGTTTACAATAGAACTCCTAAGAGTTGTTAAAATACTTTCACCAACTAAGGTCCATGAGTGACTCAATCAATGTCAGTCTAATTTATTTATTTAATTACATGTGAATTGTCTCCCCCCCCAATACCCTTCCCTAACTCCCTTAGGACGTTGATGAATGAAATGGCCAAAGCCGAGACTGTCCTCGGAATCGTCATTTGAGCAGAGGGTGCCGATCCTCATCTGGATGTTGGGATTGTCCTGGAGGGGGTGGAAGTTATGAACAGCTTGGGCAGTGTATCTTCTGCAATAGTGATGCTGCTGGGACTAATCTACGCACTAAACTTGAGCTACCCTCAAGTTTAGTGCGTTCAGCACTCAACTTGCTCAGTAACTCAAGCATACCTTTGAAGTAATACAGAAAATAATAATGAAATTGGATGGAAAGAACTTATCAAAGAAAGCACAAGTTCTCAATATGAAACTCGCTGCTAAGTTGAGTAAAGTTTCATATGGAAAATGAGTGTTTAAAGTCTGCAGTAGAAAAGATTTATATTGTTACAGTTCTCTTAAGTTGAGCAACTATACTGACATGTTTTATGTTGTAAAGAATTGGCTGGAAATGAAACTGTAACCTTTTGTAGTTGTTTTTTATTTCAATGTCCAACTCGGCTGTGTTTTGTGCTGTGTAAAAAAACAATGTATAACAATTTTGAAAATACAATTGTGTTGTACCTTTTCTAATTGTTGAGTGTTCTTCCTACACTTTCACCTAGTGCTATCTTAAAATGCTTGATTAACGCTTGAAAATATGTCTTTGAATTAACGTCATGAAATAATGGAAAGGATTTTCACATGATTAACGAGCTGTCTTTTAGCATGAAGCATATTTGTTGAGCTAACTTGCTTTTAGTGAGTTGGACCTACTGAATCAGGTAGTGTGAAGGTACCACTGTAAAATAAGGTGGTTTCAACTAGATTTACATTCATCTTAATGAAGTTACATCAATGATTTGGTCCTAAACATTGCAGATTAGTTGGGCGGGCTGTATTGCATTACACTGGGTCACGCTATAGTAACTGAGTTAAAGGAACCTTTAAAACATATGTTGAGCCAACACATTTCATTTGAATTTGAATAACCTTAATGAATGGAGTTGAGCCAACTCATTTGATTTACAATCATCCATTGCATTACCATAATTCTGGTTAAGCCAACATATTTGGTTTAAATTAGAACAACCTTAATGAATTATGTTTTGCCAACTCATTTTATTTATATAAGAATAACCACAATATATTACGTTGAGCCAACATGTTTGATTTAGAATCACCCATTGAATCACCATTGTAACAAGTTGAGCCAACACATTTGCTTTACATTGGAATAATCTTAATAAATTAGGTTGACCTAACACATTTGCTTTAAATAGGAGTAACACAAGTACATGGTGCTGAAATAAAGCAAAGTAATCAGGTGGAAATCCTTTCCATAATTTTTTTATGTTCATCCAATGACTTATTTTTTTCAGTGTAAGCAAGGCAATACTAGGACCCAGATGGCTCCAGTCAGTCTGAGGCTGTGAGATTTGCCATTTATTTCTGAGTCCTTGGCAGGTGGATGATGATAATGATGATGTTTGTAATCACTGGTCACATCTGGACTCACTGCAGAGAGAGAAGAGATGAAAATTACAGTTTGAAGGATGCACAGTAACAGCATGACATTAGGAGACATTGCAATTTTACATGTTAGAAGGACAAGGACGGTTTATTTTAGATTTTTTACATGTCAATAAACATAATAAAGAAACAGAGTCTGTCTTTCAGTCCGTCTTTGAAAGTCTTTCTTTTCTTCTCTATGAGAGATTGTTCAGGTATATGAAAACTGGGTTTCCTCCTAAGACATGAAAATACAAAAAAATCAAGAAAGAATAACATAAGAACGTTGTATGGTTATCACTCTATACCAGAAGGATTATTTGATCTTATTTTCTAAGGAACTTTATATCACAGCTGGAGAAGTAGCTCCTTTTTAAAACTATTGCTAACTGCTATCATTTCCATGCCCTAGAAACATATGTTAATGAAGCCATGTAAAATACTGTTTGCTTTTTCAATTAACCTTTATGTAAGCAGGAAAAAAGTGCATTGAAAAAAAATGACAAGGTATAAAATAAATTGGTGCATGTCATTAAATCAGGCTGGAGAACTTTTAGTTTGGAGGTAAGAAGAAGTCAGTGAGATTTATTCAGTTAATTTCAACATTTTCTGCAGCAAGTTCCAGGAAAAGGAAGCAGAATGAACAAAAGCCTTGTTACCCATTTCAGAGCAAATGGGACAGAAAGCAGCAGCAAGTTTTGTGAGCAAAAATATAGGAGTCAATATTTCTCAGTGCAATTCCAGTACAGACAAAGGCCAGCAGAAGTCTGAGTAATGCTTTGTAAATAAAAGTTAACCAATGGGAATTCTGTCGGGCAGCCAGACCATGCCGCTCCATCCATAATTATAATAACAATGGTTTACTGATATTGTGCAGTTTGTAATGAACTTCAGAGAAGAGGAGTAGACATGGTCAGAAATTCTTACTAGGTAAAAATGTTTTTGCTACTTAACTACATCCATTTGTTTCAGTTTAGGCTGGATAGTGGCATAGTTGTTGGCATGCCATGCAGGAAGAAACTCCTCAGTTTGAACTTTGACCTGAGTTTTTCTTTATATGTTCTCCTCATGCATAAATGGCTTTCTCGAGCTGTCAACAAATGTCAACAATAGGTTAACAGGCAACTCTACATTTCCACTCCACATTGAGACAACCCTAAGTCACTTGTAAAAGCATTCAAGGTCAAGGTTAAAATTTGAGTGAAGACAGCATTATATATTTGATCAAATCCCATACAAGGAATTCATGTGGCATTTGATGGAGCAACTTATGTTGGATAGTCATGTTTTTCATTTCCCTCTTAATTACAACTGAAGCAATAATGCCTCATACATCTTTTGCAGCTGCAATACATTAGCGCCCCTGTTAAACCATTAGGGGAGTGTGTTAATTTTCCACTACCCTATAAATAGCGAGCTGATGCAACCACAGGGCACCTTCATCCTCCATCTCATCCCCTGGAGATGTAGCAGAGAGCATCCTGGGTGCATCTTTGTGTCAACAGATACAGAGAGTTTATGGCAAGGTGTTAAAAGTGTTAAAGCCCATTCAATAGCCTCACAAACTAGAGTTGTGAAAGTAGTTCACGAGAAGAAGGACTCGTTGTCTTTTCTTCTGTGTAGAATCCACCTGTTTGTTTTTTTTTCTTAAACTAACAGAGTGAAAGTCAATGTCAAGTCATCATGACTGGTTTCCGTATAAACAGTTAAAAACAATGAGTCAATATCGCCTCCAGTTCTAACATTAGAGAACTACAATCAATACAACAATTCGATGCACAGATTTACTGTGACGTAGGAAAATGGATCAGGAAGCCTTAAACATAAACAGTAACCAATTCACTCATCTTTTTTTTTTTTTTTTTACTTTTGAAAATGATTCCCCGGATTGCCAGGCCATGAACTCAAACACATCCACGTCTTGATGTTTTTAAAATTAAACCTAAGCAGTCATCAAGACAGACAGCTGCACCACACCAGCAGTCAACATCCATCTTGTTGTTTACATGTCGTTGGAGGCCTTTAGGGCTGGAGGGGAGAAATTCTGTGTACCCTGCAGTGTGAAATAGAGCATCCTCTTTAACCCTGCTGATGAAGCCTCAGTCTTCATTGTGAATTTCTTCCCTCGGGGAAGGAGTGAGGTTGAACCCAAATAGATGACCAGCTGCTCAAGGATTCTGGAGTTTCTCGCTTAGGCCCAAGGGTCATAAGTCTGTCATGGGCTGAATTAGTCTCACCTACACCCTCCCAGCTCTCCTATCAAAGTTTATCTCAGTGGCAGAAAAATAAGACCAGCTGTAGATGCCATTTGTACTCTATGGATTCAATTCCACTTTTTATGGTGTGGCACAAATGGAGTGTAATTCCTTTACCAAGAACAGAATCCAAAGCAGTTACATGATTTTGTAAAGACAAAAAACAATCCTAAATATATGTGCTGTCATCTAATTCAGTGATTATGTAATTTAGATGATGTCAAAGAAATATTTATAAAGTGCCAAGTAAAGCAAACACACTCACACACACATACACATTTTTCACCAGATTTAATGTGTCATTTCTGCATGTATTATTTATTTAGAAAGATTTGTACCTCTTGTGAAAGCAGATGATCAGATCCGGTCAACTGCCTATTGATTGCATACCACAGAGCTCACAGGATAGCATACAGCTCACTGACAGGTTTTACACAAAAGCACTGAACTGAAGTCTTCACTAGGCTCCTCCCATTGAAGATACAATGTTTATAATGCAGGAACAAGCTGTAGACAGAATAGCTGAGTATCTGTGATGATGAATAAACTATGCAACTCACAGAGAATAATCTTATTTCAACTGCTTGACAGTTTGTGTGAACCTCAACAAAACCCATGAGCATGAGCTCTTAATTTAGAGTAGATAGAATAGAAATGTCCTTTATTGTTTGTTTCTCAGCCAGAAAATATTAGGTGTAGCAGCAGCAAAGTGACAGGCAAATGGAAACATGCAAATCCACGCAAGGTTAATTATAACAACAAAAACAAGACTGTATGGTGAAAGTAGGCTTTGAACATAACAAAAAATACCATACTGTTATTGAATTGAATACTCAGGTAGCCAATAAAACAGCAAATATTCAGCAACACGTTTGATAGTTAAATAAAAGACCAGGGAGTACAAATAAACAACAAAACAAAAACTACAAATTGTCATTCACAATAAATCAATTATAAAATGCATTAGATATATAACCACTCTAATTTACTTTCACTATCTGACTGAGGCACATAATAAGTCAGCTGCACAATGGAGATAATTTCTGAAGAATATTAACATTAAGCTCCTGAAACATTTTGTCCTTGCATGTTGGGAGCTTAAAAAAAAATGTATAGCCTGCATATTTTTTCCCCAGTTGTTAGCTGGGGTCAGGTCACTCTGCTGCTAGTCAGACCTTAATGATCTTATGTGTAGGTCATTAATTCTTGGTCAGACATTTCCACTTGCACCATATGTGGCATCTCAGTGTCGAAAGGCTCATGCAACACAGCCAAAATACTGTGTGACAGGCTGGGAGATGAAACTGTGCATGCTGCAGACATGGGAAGATAATACTGAAGCTACCTGCATATTTTCCAACATTACATTAGAAGGTGCCTTGTTGAACCCAAAGGCAGATGCAGATCTCATTATTAATCCCTGCTTGCACTTATTTATTAATAGAAAGTACTTAATTCAACAGTCCATTATAGCATTTGTGGTCTCTCTTTGAATCTGTCTTATTTTGACCACATTCAAATAGTTTCAACCATGATGACGCCTAAATCCTTCTTCTTGGGTGTTTTGAAATCATTGTTGAATTGAGTGGGCTCAAAAATAGTTTTACTTGAATGTCTCTAAGTATCTTCATAGATATTGATATGATGTAATCCATTTTGAAACAATGCAACCATCACAGTGGGAATTAGGGTAAACAAAAAGTAGGCAATTTTAAATTACACAAGATTATATATTTCTAGCATACAGTAGCTATAATGACAAAGGGTACAACCTACAAAGGTAAAGTCATTAGAAATAAAAACTGAAGATGTTCAATCCTCAAAAAATATTTCTCCAACAAACATTTTTTGTTGCAGGAAAAAATACCCATTTATGTTTTTCACACATAAATGGGTATTTTTTACCCATTTATGTGTGAAAAATAATGTTTAAACTCATAAAATAATTTCTCAAAATAACATAACAAATGCAGTCATTGTCATTTGGCAGGCACATACTTGATTACAAACAAATACATGTTACTTAATAGCTCTCTGACAAACACACACACACACGCGCGCACTCTATTGACTTTGCACTGCAGCTATTATTATACACAGCCATCAATGCAGACTGTTCTGGCTCTAAGTGGGTTGACTTTATAGATCATAATGACGGTCCAGACGAAGGAATATATTACCTCAATAAAAGAACAACTACATCCTCAATGTAATAACCCAGGAGAGGTAGAACTATGACTCATTAAATGGGGAATTTGGTCTCCAATCACTGAAAGCTGAAAACAGCTAAAATGACCTTGCTTTTTTTGACATCCAAGAATGAAAAATTTTAGAAATTGGTCTGTAATTATATGTTTTTGGTCAATTGGCTCCAGAGAGGTTAGGCTGTTTGAAAAGGTCCTCAGGCTGAGGAGAGACACGTGTCAGGAAGTGAATCCCTACAACAGAAGAAAAATCAATGCAAGCTGGATTCTGATGGCTTGGACCAACAATGATCAATAGCATGCTAACTGCTTCATGAAAAATGTCTAACTGCAGTGGCAGAAAATGTTACTGCAGATTTACACTATCATATTTTTAGTGTTTCTATATGAGTTTTAGAAATCACTTGCCAAACACACCCTCCCTTTCACTACTGAGTTTTATTATTGAGAAGAGTTATCCAACATGGAAACAGTCAGCTCATTACCCTTCTCTTTCAAAAGCTGCAGCTTGTTGTTGATCCAGTTGAATAAATTAAATGGCAGACTA